CCACACACTCATCTGGAAAAGGAAAAAAGGACAAACAAATTTCAAGGGTCTTTATTTATTTATTTATTTATGTATTACATGGTAATAACCCATTTATAGGGGCATAATTAGTGGAATATTGGTAATATTAATTTTCTAAAGGGACTTTTCACGGGGAGGGGGACAACAGGGGATTTGACAGTTGGAATAAACACGTGACGACTTGCAGCTGGCAACCCCTGGCCCCCCACTCACCCCCCCTCTTGTCTATAAATACCCAGCCTGCCCACTCCTCAGTCCCACTTGCTTCTCACAGCTCGAGCACACTACATGGAAGAATAGAGACAGAGAACACTCACTCTACAACACTTTTACAACCACAGAACAAGCTAACCTGAAGAAGGTCTATCTTTAGACCGAAACGTCGTTCAAAGCTTGTTCAAACTTTATTCAAATTTAATTTCTTTTATTATTTTTTTGTTTTTTATTTTCCCACGGCCTATAATGCGTGGTGAGAACGGGGAAGAGGGTTGGACGGTGGTTTCCTACCGGCGTGACCGCTACAGGCAGCCCCCGGGGGGAAGGCCCAGACCCCGCTCAGCCCAGTACCGCTCCCGCCAACGCTACCAGGCCACAGGGCAGCGTCCCAGCTATGCCTCTGTTGTTAGAGGACATGGACGGAGGGACGACTACCCACAACGCTACCGTTCCACGGAGCATGGCCATAGGCCACAATTTTTTGAAAATCCGGGAAGCCGCAGGGCCCCGTACAACCAACCTGCAAGACACAACACAACATGGAACACAGGGAGAAACACATGGAACACAGGGAGAAACACATGGAATTCAGGGAGAAACACAGGGAGAAATACAGGAAACACAGGGAGAAACACATGGAACACAGGGAGAAATACAGGAAACACAGGGAGAAATACATGGAACACAGGGAGAAATACAGGATACACAGGGAGAAACACATGGAACACAGGGAGAAACACAGATAACACAGGGAGAAATACAGGGGGAACAGGGAGAAACACAGGCAACACAGGGAGGAATACAAGCAACACACATGGGGAAAAGAGGGAGAGAAACAGGAATGGGAACAGACAACAGTCTGATGACCCTGATTTTGGAATTAAGGCCAGGATAATGAAAAAAATCATTACATTGGCCCACCACCTGAAAAATGTTTCGACCGATAAGCCCCCCCCAGCAATCCATAAATTAACAACTAATTTGGCCACCACAATTAAACCGGCTAGCCCCAGTGAGGGGGCCCGTCTCCTCATTGAGAGCAATGCCAAAAACTGGGAATATACAACAATCCTTATTCTCAGGGATCACTACATTGACTCCATTGATAAGGAGTTTAACACCTTATCTGCATTGCCCAAACGGGATTGGCCTGCCCCCTTTCAAGTGGCCTCCACCTGGGCAAAAAGACACCTGGGTAGGAGACTCCAGGCTGAGACCCTGGAGCAGGTGGAGGCCCTCATGGTCGTGCAGCTCGACCCAGACACGGATGAGGGAAAGCCTGACTGCCCGCCACCACCCCCTGCCACAGCTCCGCCACCTGTGTTCGATAAACAAAAAACACAAACACAACACAGTGTTCAGGCACAAATCCACGTCAACAATGACAACAGGGAATTGGAGGTACTGGAAACACGGGCCCACTCACCAGTAACACCAGCCCCCCCTCCTCCTCCTCCTCCTCCTCCTCCTCCTCCAGCGGCCTCCCTGGACCTCCTCGGCTTCTTTAAGCAGCAGCCGAGGCCCCAGAGAGTCCGGAGGTTAGCGCCTGCGGTACACTTACCTGCAAAGGGAGAGGAAGAAAAAAATGTTAACTTACCTGAAAATCCTCCTCCGACGACGACGGCTGCCCCCGCGGTGGTTGCTGCTCCTGTACGGCTGGCCGCTCCGGCAACTCCTCCCTCGCAGCCTGACGCTTCGGTGCCGGAGGCTGCTCCGGTGTCGGAGGCCGCTCCGATGCCGGAGGCCGCTCCGGTACAGCTTGCCGCTCCAGCGCCAGCGGCTGCTCCAGGGCAGTTGGCCGCTCCGGTGCCAGCAGCCTCTCCGGCGCTACCAGCCGCTCTGGCTCCGACAGTGGCTCCTTTAAACCCGTGTGTGGTCCACAGCCCAGACTCCATCACCTGCCTCTCAGGTGACGGGGATCTGGTAGAGCCCCATAAAGGCCCTTTTGAGGCCTCCACCGCTCAGTCCACTCCGGTTAAATTCAGGAGCCTTAGAAGAGCAACCCAGAGCAGACTCACGCTGCGGCCTAGACCGACAGCGCCGACCCCAGTGCCTATGCCCAACACCAGGAGACCTACAAAACACATAAACACACAGAATAAAATACAGGATTGGGGCCTCAGCATTGGCAAAGAGTGGGCCTTTATTGGCGACTCTAACTTGGCCAAAATGCCTCCATTTGAAAGCACCAACCTACAAATTGACAGCTACCCAGGGGCGACATTAGCACATGCTAAAACGCTAATTGATAAGGCCACCACCTCCACCAAATTAGAGAAATTGGTCCTCTCTTTTGGTATAAACAACAGAAACGCTGCATCCAAAACAATCCTGGCACAGCAGCTATTAGCCACAGTGGAGGCAGCTGAGGCTAAATTCCCTCAAGCGGCCGTTTGGGTGCCTTTAATCAATTATTCCCGTCACTTACCTCTCAAAGAGCAGGCCTGCCTGGTCCACCTGAACGCACATATCCAAAAAAACTGCCTCTTCATCCCCAGACTGCCCTCCAAATCTTTTGAAACTGGAGCAGATAACATACACTGGACAAAAGCCACCGCCAAACACATGTTTGACCACTGGACGGGGTATTTAAAATGCTCATCCCCATAAGCCTGCACTCTCAGGAGGGGTCAAAAAATGTACTGTTGTTATCACAGACATTCAAATTAACCCAGGCCCAGTTCACACTCCTGGACAGGGGCCTCTCTTTCATCCCCACTAGGGGGAGCCAGAGCAACATCATTGAGCAAAGCAGATGGGACCTGCAGCAATATCACAGGAGAATCAAACTCCATGTTTATTTTCAAAATAAAAAAGATGTGATTTTCACCCCCTTTACCCAAAAATCTGATTGGAGCCCCCCCTTGTCTAATTTGCCACCGGAAATCACTGACCTCATCCAAGCGGATATTCATTATTTTGAAAACAATTTCCAGCCAATCCCAATCAGGAATAATTTGAGCCAGGAGGAAATTGAAGCCCTCAAGGAACTGAAAGAAAACAAAAACATCATTATAAAACCAGCAGATAAAGGCAGCGCAGTAGTGGTGATGGACAGGGAACAATATTTATTTGAGGGCAACAGACAGCTAACAGACAAAAAATATTATTCTGTCTTAAAGGATCCTATCTACCCTGAAACTAAAAAAATGGTGCAACCAATTATTAAATCATTATTAGATAAAAAATTCATAAACAAAAAACAATACACTTACCTGCTGGGTAATCCGATCCCCCGGCCCAGACTGTTTTACCTGCTGCCCAAGATACATAAAGAGCCCTCAAAGTGGAGTGTCCCCTTTGAAATCCCACCTGGAAGGCCGATTGTCTCTGATTGTGATAGTGAGACCTACTACACGGCCCAATTTATTGATTATTATATCAACCCACTTTCTAACAGACACTTCGGCTATCTCAAGGACACTTACCACTTTATTAATACGGTCAAACAACTACATATCCCCCCCGACTCCATCCTGTTCACTATGGATGTTGACAGTCTATACACCAATATTGATATTGATGAAGGCATACAGGCCATAAAAAACATATTTACAAAATTTCCAGACAAAAAGAGACCTGATAAGGAACTATTACAACTCCTTGCAATCAACCTGAGGAGAAATGATTTTGAATTTGACAGCAAATTTTATTTACAAATTAAAGGCACTGCCATGGGCAAAAAATTTGCACCGGCATATGCCAACATCTTCATGGCCGAATGGGAGACCTCCGCCCTGGCAGCCTGCAACAAAAAACCATTACATTATTATAGATATCTGGATGATATCTGGGGGGTCTGGCCCCACTCTATGGAAGAATTTGACCAATTTGTACTCACCTTGAATAATCACAACCCGTCCATCACACTGAAGTCCACCACTAGCACCACGTCGGTCGACTTCCTGGATACCACCACCTACAAGGGGATCAATTTCCAGCATACAAACAAATTAGACATTAAAGTTTTCTTCAAAGAAACAGACACCCATGCCCTGCTTTATAAGACCAGCCACCACCCCAAACACACATATAGGGGCCTTTTGAAATCACAATTACTCCGTTTCCACCGTATCTGCACACACAAAAGTGACTTCATGGCGGCCACAAAAACGCTTTTCAGAGCTCTCGCCACCAGGGGCTATGTACGCTCCTTCCGGCGGAAGGCCCTCAGCACCTTTCTGGAAACAAAACCAGTAGACACGTCGGATGTACTCCCCTTCGTCACCACCTATTCCAAGCCAGCAATCGCTCTGTGCAGAAAAATCAAAGAAAATTTCCAACAAAAAATCATTGATCCGGGACTCCTTAATAACCACAGGTTCATAGCAGCCTATAGGAAAAACAAAAACCTCCAGGACCATCTGGTGACAGCCAAAGTTAAGCCCCTATCGACCTCAAAATCCAGAGGCCATGGCCAATTTTTCAAACATGCCACCTGGATCCACAGCCATGTCAACAAAACAGTCCATAAGACCATGGCATGTGGCAATCCACACTCCAAAAATTGCGTGTATCTTATTTCATGTCTTATGTGCGGCCTACAGTATGTGGGCGAGACCAGAAACACGCTCTTACAGCGGTTCACCCAACACCGCTACAACATCCAGAGGCGGAGGGAAACCCACACGCCTCTGGTCAGCCATTTTCTGGCCCATGGATGGTCGTCTGTCCGGGCCACGATCATCCAGATGGACCCCAGCTGGAACGCCACACAGAGAACCCGAGCTGAAAGGACATGGATAAGAAAATTAGAAACATTACACCCCAAAGGCCTCAACCTCAAATAAGAGCTTTCCTGATCTGGAGCAGGATGGCCCGTGCATGGAGCCTCGACACCGCTGCGCGGTGCCGAGACTCATCCACTTTCTCTATCCTAACCTTAACCCTAAACCTAACCTTAGCCCTCAAACCTTAAAATTAGTCCCAAACATTTAAAGTAGCCCTGACCCTAAAGTTAGCCCTAAACCTAACATTAGCTTTAAACCCTAAAATTAGTCTTTAACATTTAAAGTAGCCCTGGCCCTAAAGTTAACCCTAAACCTAACATTAGCTTTAAACCCTAAAATTAGTCTTAGACATTTAAAGTAGCTCGGGCCTTAAAATTAGCCCTAAACCTAATATTAGTGTTAAACCCTAAATTAGCTCCAAAACCTAATATTAGTTTTATGCATCTAAATTAGCTTTAATTATAGTCAGGGCCTTGACCGGTGGGTGGTTCAGACCATTTATGGGTTTTAGAGGGTGTAGAACATTGACCTTTGACAATGGGGGCTGGGTGGTAGGAAGTTGGAGACATTAGTGGAAGCGGGTACCTCACCCGGGGTACAGGTCACGGGAAGGGGGCGTGGCTAGGGTAGGGAATTCTTTTTAATTAGGTAGGTAGAGTGGGTTTGGATTTATTTTGCAGTTATTAGACCTTGGGGGGTCGAGGGGTCGGACATTGGTAGTTTTTTGAGTGGTTTTGGAGTCTTTTGGAGTTTTTTAGGGAGTTTTGGTTTAGCTGGGGGCGGAGTTAGGGGGTGGGTGTGGTTAGGGTAGGGAACTCTGTTTGATTTAGTGGATAGAGTGGGTTTGGATTCATTTTGCAGTTATTAGACCTTGGGGGGTCGAGGGGTGGGACATTTGGCAGTTTCTCAGGTGTTTTCTGAATTTTTGGCGGGTTTTTAGGTAGTTCGGGTTTGGTTGGGGGCGGAGTTAGTGGGGTGTGGTGGATTGGATTTTCCAGACACCGCGTTAGGGGGAGACCGCGGTCTCCCTTAGGTAGAGTGTGGGAGGATGCTCTGGTGCTGGGTAAAATAGGATTCCTGGAGTCGTGCGGTGTATGGGGCACAGGAGGTTCATTTGATAGGCAGAGTGGCCTGCAATTTAATCCTGATTGCTCTGACCAGAGTTACCTAGCGTTGTCAACAACTGGTCAGATGCGGGTGCATCTGCGAGACACTGGGAACTTCTGGAGAGGAGGATGAGGGAGGTACGTATTGTTCTAAACAGATCGGTACGGTAAATCCTTTTCCATCATGGGGAGGCAAATTGGAAACTTATCTCTGTGTGATATATAATATGCAGCGGAATTTTTCTGATATATCTCGACTTATTCCAGTGGCGCTTGCGATAGATCTAATACCGATCTGCATTCATATAGAGTATATCCAGACTTATCAAAGCTGCACTTGCGATATATCTAAGATTAGAGAGACTTACTGGCGTATAGCTAATACGTATATCCAATACGTAGGTCCAGGCTCGTTGTGGTTGGACTTGCGTGGATCTAATATGTATATCCAGGCTTATTGTGGTTGGACTTGCGTGGATCTAATAGGTATATCCAGGCTTCTTGAAGTTGGACTTGCGTGTATCTAATACGTATATCCAGGCTCCTTGCAGTTGGACTTGTGCGTATCTAATATGTATATCCAGGCTTATTGTGGTTGGACTTGCACGTATCTAATTTATATATCTAGGCTCCTTGAAGTTGGACTTACGCCTATTTTACATGCATATCCAGGCTTATTGTGGTTGGACTTGCACGTATCTAATTTATATATCTAGGCTCCTTGAAGTTGGACTTACGCGTATCTTACATGTATATCCAGGCTTATTGTGGTTGGACTTGCGCGTATCTAACATGTATATCCAGGCTTCTTGAGGTTGGACTTGCGTGTATCTCATATGTATATCCAGGCTTATTGTGGTTGGACTGGCGCGTATCTAACATGTGTATCCAGGCTTCTTGAAGTTGGACTTACGCGTATCTAACATGTATATCCGGGCTTCTTGAAGTTGGACTTGCGTGTATCTAATATGTATATCCAGGCTTATTGTGGTTGGACTTGCGCGTATCTAATATGCATATCCAGGCTTATTGTGGCTGGACTGGCGCGTATCTAACATGTATATCCAGGCTTCTTGAAGTTGGACTTACGCGTATCTAACATGTATATCCGGGCCTCTTGAGTTGGACTTGCGTGTATCTAATATGTATATCCAGGCTTATTGTGGTTGGACTGGCGCGTATCTAACATGTATATCCAGGCTTCTTGAAGTTGGACTTACGCGGATCTAACATGTATATCTGGGCTTCTTGAAGTTGGACTTGGGTGTATCTAATATGTATATCCAGGCTTATTGAAGTTTTACTTACGATATATCTAATACTTATCAGGACACACCCTGGGGATTGATCAACCCCGGCGGGGCCTCCCTTGGGTGAGGGTGTCTAGTGATAATGGCCGAAACACCCGAGGATCCCAAGGTCCACTACTGACGATGTGTTCCAAAAATAGGACGATGGTTCGTTTGGTCTGATAACCCGAATGGGTGTAGATATTTGCGATAGGACTATTGGTTCTCACTCACGTCGAGGTTTGGTTGGATTTTGAGAGTGGCAATGCTGTTGGTTTCCTGAGTGGTCTCACTCAGAGGGCGGCAGGGGCCAGTTGGGTGGGGGGCACAGTTGAGAGAACTCTGAGTGACATGCGCCGGCCCGTGCTTTCCGATGGCTCTCTATTCCAAACTGTGTTCTCGTTAGAGGCACAGGGGGAGTCCATTGAGTTAATTTAAATTCACCCTAACCCGCCAGTGCCTTCGGACAAGCGGGTTCTCTCTTAAGACTACTGTTGCTCTTTTTAAAAGAAGCGGGGGTCAGGGGTTGGGTTGTATTTCTGATTTTGGTCAGAATGGTGCGAGGTGGTCATAACACCCAAGGCTAATCAGGGGAGATTGGTTTTCTTTCCCCCTCTTTTTCATTAAGACGTCTGAATTGGTGGTAGGTCTGAGCGGATAAGATTTGACGACAGGTCCTAATGTGATCCTGGTTGTGTCCTGACTCGATGAAGCCCCTTTCCTTCGTCCTTTCTCTCTTCCCCAATAGGGGCGGAGCAGAGGTGGATCCGGTTATTGGATGGTGTGTATCCCAAAGGATTAAATGAAAAGGAATGGAATTATTTGGATGGTATCCACTGGTTCAGGGATGTGTACCGGATCGGAGGATGGGTCTCTGTCTCTCTCTGTCTCTCTCTGTGTCTCTCCCTGTCTCTGTGTCTCTCTCTCTCTGTCTCTCTCTCTCTCTCTCTCTCTCTTTTTCTTTTCTCTCTCTCTCTCTCTCTCTCTCTCTCTCTCTCTCTCGTTTTTTGTCTGGGTTTCCTTGTTCAACTCCCCTCTCCCTCTGTCTCATTGGGATAAGAGGGAGCGGGGGGCGTAGGACTGCATAGTTTTGCAAAGGTTGTAGTTGAGGCACATGCCTGTCTCCTACTACTGTTCCTACTGCCCCCCTTTGAGGTTTCTTCTTCTTTTCTTTTTTCTTTCTCTCTCTCTCTCTCTCTCTCTCTCTTTTGTTCTCCCTTTCTCTCCTTCTCTCTTCTCTCTTTCTTTCTTTTTTTCTCTCGCTCTCTCTCTCTCTTTCTCTTTCTCTCTTTCTCTCTCTCTCTCTCTCTCTCTCTCTCTCTCTCGTGTTTTGTCTGGGTTTCCTTGTTCAACTCCCCTCTCCCTCTGTCTCATTGGGATAAGAGGGAGGGGGGGGCGTAGGGACTGCATAGTTTTGCAAAGGTTGTAGTTGAGGCACATGCCTGTCTCCTACTACTGTTCCTACTGCCCCCCTTTGAGGTTTCTTCTTCTGTTTCTTCTTCTTCTTCTTCTTCTTCTTTTCTTCTTTTTTTCTTCTTTCTTTTTCCTTTTTTTCTCTCTCTCTCTCCCTTTCTCTCCCTCTCTTCTCTCTTTCTTTCTTTTTTTCTCTCGCTCTCTCTCTTTCTCTTTCTTTCTTTCTCTCTCTCTCTCTCTCTCTCTCTCTCTCTCTCTCTCTCTCTCCTTTTCCTAATTTCTAAGTCAGGTATTTACCCTTGGCCTCGGCAGTGCCCTAACCATAACAATTTCCTGGTTGACAGAGGATACACGCCGACTCCGGGAGAACGGAAGGATTTTATACGGGGCTTTCCTTTGGTATTTGGTCTGGCCTTTAACATCGGTTTTGGTCTTGGCATGTATCTTTAACATTAGTCCTAAATATTTATATTTATAATAGTTCTAAATCTTAAAATTATTCTCAAACCCTAAAATTAGTCCTAAACATTTAAAGTAGCCCTAACCCTAACCTTAACCCTAAACCTAACCTTAGCCCTCAAACCTTAAAATTAGTCTTAAACATTTAAAGTAGCCCTGACCCTAAAGTTAGCCCTAAACCTAACATTAGTTTTAAACCTTAAAATTAGTCCTAAATATTTAAAGTAGCTCTGACCCTAAAGTTAGCCCTAAACCTAACATTAGCTTTAAACCCTAAAATTAGTCTTAGACATTTAAAGTAGCTCTGGCCTTAAAATTAGCCCTAAACCTAATATTAGTGTTAAACCCTAAATTAGCTCCAAAACCTAATATTAGTTTTATGCATCTAAATTAGCTTTAATTATAGTCAGTGCCTTGACCGGTGGGTGGTTCAGACCATTTATGGGTTTTAGAGGGTGTAGAACATTGACCTTTGACAATGGGGGCTGGGTGGTAGGAAGTTGGAGACATTAGTGGAAGCGGGTACCTCACCCGGGGTACAGGTAAAGGGAAGGGGGCGTGGCTAGGGTAGGGAATTCTTTTGAATTTTGTAGGTAGAGTGGGTTTGGATTTATTTGGCAGTTATTAGACCTTGGGGGGTTGAGGTGTAGGACATTTGGTAGTTTTTTGAGTGGTTTTGGAGTCTTTTGGAGTTTTTTAGGGAGTTTTGGTTTAGCTGGGGGCGGAGTTAGGGGGTGGGTGTGGTTAGGGTAGGGAACTCTGTTTGATTTAGTGGATAGAGTGGGTTTGGATTCATTTTGCAGTTATTAGACCTTGGGGGGTCGAGGGGGGACATTTGGCAGTTTCTCAGGTGTTTTCTGAATTTTTGGCGGGTTTTTA